AAAAAAAAAAAAGAAAATTAATGATTTTTTTATTGATTACAATTTAAAATGATAATTCTTTGGCTATATTGAGTTAAATAAAATACGTTATTAAAACTAATTTTATCTGTTTCTTTCTCTTTTTTATGGAGGGACTAGAAAATTATAAATTATGTATGTTGCTTGCATTATATTTCTGTTGGGCAACACTGTTAGATGTTGGTTTTTAATCAAAAGTAAAAACCTGAATTTCGGCCATGTACAGTGGCTCATACCTGAAATCTTAGCACTTTGAGAGGTCAAGGCAGGATGATTGCTTAAGCCCAGGTTCAAGACCATTCTGGGCAATAGTAAGACCCTGTCTCTACAAAATATAAAAAAATTAGTTGGATGTGGTGATGTCCCAGCTACATGGGAGGCAGAGGCAGGAGGACCACTTTACCACTTGATCCTAGGAATTCAAGGTTCCAGTGAGCTCTGATGACACCACTCCATTCTAGCTCAGATGACAGGGGGAGAGTCTCTCCAAACAAAATAAAACAAAACTGAATTATACCTTAATTTAATCAAAAGGAAAGGGAAAAACCTGTGAGTAAGTCTGAAGAAATTACCAAGCTTTTGATAAATGTTTTTTGGCTGCAAGAAATAATTCCTAAGTGATCAGACCTGGTGCAGTGGCTCATACCTGTAATCCCAGCACTTTGAGAGGCCAAGGCAAGAGAATAACTGAGGCCAGGAGTTTAAGACCCTTTCTCTACCAAAATTTCTTTAAAAATTAACCAGGTGTGGTAGTGCATGCCTATAGTCCCAGGTACTTGGGAGATTGAGGCACGTGGATTGTTTGAGCCCAGGAGTTGGAGGTTGCAGTGACTATGATCATGCCACTGCACTCTAGCCTGGGTGACAGAGTGAGGCCCTGTTTCTAAAAGAAAAGAAAATTGTGTTTCCAAGGACATCATTAAGAAAGTAAAAGAATAAAACAACTGGGAAAAGTATTTGCAAATCGTATCTGATAAAGGGACTTGTATTCAGATTGCATAAAGAACTCTTAAAACTCACCAATAAGACAAATAACTCACCGGGCCTGGTGGCTCACGCCTATAGTCCCAGCATTGTGGGAGGCTGAGGCAGGAGGATTGCTTGAGCTTAGGAGTTCGAGGCTTGCCTGAGTGAGAGTGAGACCCCGACTCATGAAAAAAATTGAAAAACCCAGCCAGGCACCTTGGCGAGTGCCTGTAATCCTAGTGACTTTGGAGGCTGAGGCAGCAGGATGCCCACAGTCTCTGAGGTTGCAGTGAGTTACGATGTCATTGCACTCTGCTCAGGGCATAGGGTAGAACTCTGTCTTGACAAAAAAAAAAAGACAAATAACTCATTTAAAAATGGGCAAAGAATTTGAATAGATATTTCTCAAAGAAGAGCTACAAGTGGTCAGTAAGTACCTGAAAGGATGCTCAGTATCATTAGTAACTAGGGAAATGCAAATCAGAGTCATGATGAGATTCTCCTTCACCCCCCTAGGATAGCTAGTGTTGGTGAGGATGTAGAGACATTAGATCCCTCCTACACTACTGCTGGGATGTAAAATGGTATTGCCACTTTGGAAAATAGTCTAGATAACTTTCTCAAAAAGTTAAATATAGAATTACCATGTGACTCAGCAGTTCCACTCTGAGGTATATAGTCAAGAGAAATGAAAACAAATGTCCACACAAAAATTTGGACTTCTGGCTTGGCGCCTGTGGCTCAAGTGGCTAAGGCACCAGCCACGTACACCCAAGGTGGCAGGTTTGAATCCAGCCCGGCCCGCCAAACAACAATGACGGCTGCAACCAAAAAATAGCCAGGCATTGTGGTGGG